GGTCCATTTTCCTACTTCTGAAGCTAATATTGCTAGGCAGTAAGACTAAAACATTTGGTGAACCCACTTTAATCTATAAATGGCACATGCATTCTTCACAGAATATAATTTTGAGAGTCCTTAAATGCCTATTTTCTCCATTCACTTTCATCTAAGTCTTTAAAAACGAATCATTACTGAAATAGATTTGATGCCTTTGTACTGTTGAAAAGTAAAGATCCCTCATTTCTGTAGACTTAGCAAAGTGTATAAATAACATCATTCCTTACTAGCCTAAGAGCACTTTTTTTTCTGTATCAATGTTCCAAAGAAGGTGTTCTGTTATCCTCTCATCTCTACCTTATTTAAAAACAACAAAACTGCATCTTTCATCGCTATAAGTCAAAGTTAAGAATACAACTTTTGACATGTTAAAGTGTTCCTATTCATATTTTCACTTTAAAATGTTGTATTTGGAATCTTTGAAAAAGATAGTGGGTTCTGTTTTATTTTCAAATGGTTGCAAGCTACTTTTGCCTGTAGGGTTTATGAGATTTCTAATTTTACATTGCAAAAAAAAATTTACCTTCTGCAGATGAAGTAGAAAATAAAAGTTGAAATGGTTTGTTTCCTTCAGATAATATTTAATTTGCTCTTAATCCTAAAGGATAAAAAAGAGAGAGAGAATATTTTAATTCAAGTCACATTTCTCCCGAGAACTATTCTGAGATTTCTTCTATTTTCGAAATTGAAAGCCAAGTGAGTTAATTGAATGTTATCATACCTTGAAGCTAAGTACAATTTCAGTTTGAATTATGGGACTCTTTCCTCTTCCCAGAATAATCAGCTTTAGAGTTCTAATTTGTTGAATAGCTAATCAAACACTGTCCACACTAAAAAGAAAAAAGACTTACCCAAAAGTATTGGATATATGCATGCTCCAGGATACCTATTACCATACTCAGTTAACTGGCACTTCTTGATGGCTGTTGAAATGAATGAGTCTACCTGAATTTTGGTTTGTTTTCCCTATATATTCAGCCAACCCAAAAAGAAGAAAACAAATCAAACGTATGGATGCAGGTTGATAAGAACAAATTAAACTAATTGTGTATTTAAGCTTTCTACATTGCTAAAAATAGTGGACTCAATACACCTTCCTCCTTCTACCCATATCTCTGACTATACTGTGATATACAAAATATCTAAGTCAAAGCACTTGTTGGGCGCCTGGGTGGCTCAGTCGGTTGAGCGACTGCGTTCGGCGCAGGTCATGATCCTGGAGTCCCGGGATCGAGTCCCGCATCAGGCTCCCTGCTAGGCGGGGAGTCTGCTTCTCCCTCTGATCCTCCCCCCTCTCATGCTCTCTCTCTCTCTCATTCTCTCTCAAATAAATAAATAAAATCTTAAAAAAAAAAGCACTTGTTAGTATTTAATAGCTGCACTGTGTCCATTAAATCCTCATTTGTAAAATTTGGATTTATAACTAATAATTTTGTCTGCTCTGTGTAAGCACACTTGTGAATCAGCTCTCATCATTGACGGTACTGAAGCTTAGCCTGAGACTGGATACAAAATAAAGGTTAAAAACTGTTCACTAACTTCCAGGTGAATTGTTCATAGGTTAGGTACTAAAATTTTGTATACACCACGTATTTGGATCATATCAATATCCAAGCCACTGTTTTGAATATTCTTTTATTCTTCAAATATTTTTCAAGAAGACATATATGTTTCTACATGTTTGTGTATGGTTATGTAAATGCAATTTCTCTCAGAATATTTTTCTTCTTGTACTAGGTTATAGAAAGTCACAAGTTAACTTTTTATAGAGTCTTATTTTAAGGATAATTTTGTCTTCAATCTCCACTTCAGATCTGTGTTTATACAGATTTATCATAGAAAGACTTTCTGATGGTACATCTTTAGTGATTCCTGCAAGATCTATTAATTTCCCAGTGTTTGTACAAAGAATACTTGGAATTTATAAATTCTTGTAAAAAACACCTTGGATAAAAAATTACCATAATTGTTTATATTTCCTCTAACTAGCAGCCACCATTTTGTATAGGGATGGTCTGTAGGAAACTATTTTATTAGAAATAAGTAAGTTGATTTCAAAGTTATATTTTATTTAGATCTATAAGTATCAACTAAGGTTTACAAAATGTGTTGTTCGAGACACATGAGTGACTCCATAGCTGATTCTATATGGAATCACATATGATTCCATAGCTAATTATCTGTGACTACTGAATACTCAGAGTTGATATGTAAACTCTTTGCCCACTAAAGTCTTTGAGAATTTTCTTCCAACACTGACAAACTGGAGTTCTTAAAGCAAGATATTAAGATGACTTCAATCTATTTGCAGAACATTTATATATCATTATGGTTTTTTTCTTGACTCAAAGTAGCAGAACTTTAAAAATGAGATTTAACCCATATTTATAATAACAATATAATTGCCTAGTTTCAGAGTTCATATAAAATATAACACTTGGAATGCTTTCATTAACAAAATTCTAGGATAAATCAACACAGAAACATAGTGTTTCAGGACTACAGAAGCTCCATTTTGCCTCCATATTATATTTAACATTGGGGGCTTAGAAACAATCTATTATCATTATAATGTATAATTAAAATTAGATGGATCTGAGGTGCTTTTTTCATATAATAAGGGAAATATTTTCATACTCAAAACCATGCAGAGGACCTTGGCTTTTATGTAAATTGTTATAAATGTACACATACATTTTCAGCTTTCAAGCCCTCATCTGTAAGGTTACCAGGTGAATATTAAGAAAATAAACCAAACCAAACAAAATAAAATAAAAGCCGTGAATAGTTTACCTAAAATATAAATCCAAAGCCTAATGTAACAGAATTGCCAAACCTGACCTTCCTGCTCCTCTTTGCATAGGAAAGTCCTAACACCAGCAACCACAGTAGTTCTCCGAAGGTGTACCCTTATTTCAGGGTGAATGTGGTCCAACATTAGTATAATCAGAGTATGTGTCTCCAGAGGTTATTCCCCAAAACCCCTGAGTGTTTTTTCTGATACAGCTTTATACTGCAATGCATACCATTATGATATAAAAAATGATAAAGCAGCATCTGGAAAGCTACAATGTGGTAAAAAGCTTAAATAATTTTTTTTAAAGATTTTATTTATTTATACATGAGAGACAGAGGGAGAGAGAGAGGGAGAGAGAGAGAGAGAGAGAAGCAGAGGGAGAAGCAGGCTCCCAAGGAGCAGGGAGCCCGATGCGGACTCGATCCCAGGACCCTGGGATCACGACCTGAGCTGAAGGCAGACGCTTAACCACCTGAGCCACCCAGGCGCCCTTAAATTAAATTTTATTCCTCAGGCTTAGAACGCATGTTGAGAATTATTCAAGTTAAGCTTACTTACTTCCCATACCTCAAAACTGAAATATGATAGCATAGGGCAATTGCAAACAGAGGCGAAATTTAAAATTTTGCACATGGGTGGAATCAGGCAGAAAATGCCATAAACATTTGAGGACACCTGATTATGAGAAATTCAAAGAGTAAAGGAAAAATTCCTCCTTGAGATAATTCTTAATTTGTGGGTTTCAAAATTCCAATCTATCTGAAATACATAAATATGGTAATTTTTGGAGAATAGGACCATTATGCTTATTTTAAGACCAATAGCAACAACAGCAAGATATTATCTAAACCATTTTAGGAAAAAAAAAACAAGAAATTTGAAGAAAATTAGTTTATTGGGAAAATATCAAAATAATTAAACTTGTGTATTATGTTTAGTTAGCAGTTGCTACAGTGTTGAAGGTTTTATGAAATTCTCTCATGATAATATACTTTATTCAAAATGTATGTAACTATATATTTGTAAGCTAACAGAATTAGAAAATTAGATAGTGTCTGCAAGCCTTTACATAACAGAACACTTTGCAGTTGGCAAAGCATTTTTACAGATGCTTCTTGATCCTCACACAACCCTGTGAGACAGGCAGGGAGTCTTTGCCATCTCTATTTTGTGGTTTGGGACCCTGAAGCTCAGAGACTTTGAGGCACGTTTCCAAGGATAATGTGTGAATCTCTATTTATTTATTTTTTTTGCTTCAGTTTTATATATTTTCCTGTAGATCCCAAACAGATAAAGGCTAAGCAGTCAGTGAGATGGGGACAATCTGAACCTGTGTAAAGGAATAAAGGTAAGTCAATCCAAGGTCTACAAGATTTATGTAAATTGGAGTATCATCTTTTCAGATTACATTGTTATCATGTGAGGTACATATTTTCGATGACTACTCATGTTTTATAAGTAAGCAAATTAGACTGAAGTATAAACCAACCATCAAAATGTCCAACAACTAATTTTAGGTATCGGCAGGATCAAAACTGCTGATGTAAATGTCTTAAAACAAATGGAATGGAATAAATCATTGAATTTTCCAACGTTTTATACAGGATATGGTTTGTGACTATTTTTCAAATTAAATCTTTCCCTGACATATCAGATTATCTGAATATATCTTACTTAAACCATTCATTCTATCCATAAAAAAGGGGGGGTCTTTTGTTAAAAGAAAGGAGGGCAGGCAGGACAGAGATGATGGTCTCTGTGCTTCAGAGCAGTGCACAATGTGTGCACAGAAGTTGCATACATTATAGTGCAAGCAGCAAATCCCCATGCTCCATCAATTTTGTATGGAGAAAAGAAGTGGGGAGGGCAAAGAAAAATGGTACATACAAGTCCATGATGGAATGACCTGGTATACTGGATATACCTCATGTCATTTGAACACAAGACAACGCTAATAAGATCTGTCACAATAACAGAGTGTGGGTCTCAAGAGTCCACACAGAAAAGTGGAAAAGGAGGTCCCGATTACCTGCACAAGTTTCATTTCCTAGTGTACCACCCCTAGTCATAAGTGATTTTGAATCTTTCTGTTTAGTTTTGCTTTTTGAAAAGAAATCACAAAATATTGAAACAAATATCATTGTTTGGCTTAATTCAGGTATTCTTAATTAAACAGTACCACAGACTTTATTGAGCAATTGAAAATATACACAAGGAACAACAGCTTTTTCTCTGTATTTTTTTTAATTTGACTGTCTTCTGATTAAATAACCCAGTTTCGATCATGGAAAGGGCACTTGTTTCTACAGTAGCTGTGTACAGCTTGCTCAGTTCCAAGTACTGTCTCCACTCTTCTTCCTTGCCATTGCTGAGGTTATGTCTCCACTTGCTCAGGAAGCAAATTCTAGAAGGTTGCAAGAATTGACCCCCTAAGTTGTTCTTTCAGATTCTATTTCTCCATAGAGTTCAGCTAACTTTTTAAATTCAGGTCCCCATTCTCCAAGGTAGTGATAATCCTGGTCTGATTGTGTGGTTGCTGAATCCAGTGAGCTGATGGACCCAGCCTCCGATCTCTGACCTTCATAGGCATAAGTCTGAAGAGAGTCATAAGGGGGGACACTGGGGTCTAGGTCGGCTTCTGCCAGTTTTTGCTTAATAAATTCCTGAACATCTATGCTTTCCAGGGTGGACAATGTCTGGTGTCTGGGGGTGAGTTTCACTTCGGGTCTGATATCTCTCCGATACTTGAGCTCCTCGGCAGCAGATGGATTCCTCAAGGCTGTGATGTCAAAGGCCTCAGTGTCTTCCTCACCGCCACCTTCATCATCGTAGGTGACCACATTCTCCCTCACGTCCTCCTCAGAGATGATTAGGGGCTCTTTTTTGCTGCGTCTCAAGGTGATAAAAAGTACTACAATTGCTGAAGAAAAATGGAAAGAGGATGGAGAGTTAGCAAAAAGGAAGGAAGTTCTTGGAGATTTGACATCAGCAACTACATTCCATTTAGGCTTGCCTTGTAACACAATCTTGATCTCTGTGCTCTCTGGATAACAGTTGGAGAGTTTTTTAAAATCTCAAGGAATGTGAAAAATGATTATCTCTATAAGGTCTTGGGAATCAATGGTCTTTAGAAAAACATAATATTCCCATTTGTCACACTTATGCATTCAGGATTCCTGGCTCACTGTGGTCTCTCATCCAGTCTTCACATTGAGGGAAACAGATGATGGAAGAGCATACAGAATTTTGCCTGGGGGAATAATGGTGAGTGTTGTTCTATGTATAGATTCTAGGCAGATACACTAAAGGAAGGATATTTTAAGTTTCTCTTAAATAGGAAGAAGGAGCCCCTACCTTAAACCCTTTACTTTTGATGCTTTGTAGGAAACCAAAGCAGGTATATTTTACATGGTTGATCTCTTTTGCCCATTACCTTTTAGAATACTATTATCAGGCACTGATAATTGCATATATCTATCAAGCTGCACAAAAGATGTTATTTTACTTGTACCTAAATTATGTTTCAGAGGAATTTTTCAGGTTACCAAATGTTTTTTACATAACTTCTTGATTTAATCCTCGCAGCAAAGTATGGGTTTCCTCAAGGAAACTGAGGCTCCAGAAAAATTACATAAATAACTAAAATCCAGCTCTAAGATTACACAAATGGCAGATGGAAGAACTTAGACTGTAATCTATGACTTCTCACACCATAGGTGATGAAGCTTCCATCATCATAATCCATTTTGTTATTTAAAAAATATGGAACAAGGAACTGAGTTGGGCATGTGGGTTATTACCAGTAATGTCACAACCATTAGATGAAACGATGTAAATGGATCTTGGGCACTTTGCTTTGGCTGTTTCTCTGTATTTTCAAATCTTTCTATTTGATGATACTAAGCCATTACTAAATAGAAAGAATAACCTCACTTCTACTTTGTGCTATTAAGCCCAATATTCTTTACTTCAGCTCTACAGAATGTTCTTGGTCAGCTGATAATCTAGGTTTTATGGTAGCAATTATTAGGTGCATTGTTATTTTAAACATTCTTTACAATATAATAATCAAAGAAGTACATTCAAAAGGCTTGTATATATATGTGTATATGTGTGTATATATACACATGACATAACATAAATATAACATATATAGAAACAGTTTTTATATATATAGCATGTGACATACTTATGCTATATGCACACACATACAAATATACACCTACAGACATATATTTTTACCTGAAATTCACATTTCTATATTGTATTTTATCTATTTCTATATACTGTATTTTATCTGGCAACCTTACTGATATGCATCTTTAACAAACACTTGTAAAGCAAACAAACACCAGGTTAACTATTCTCTGATAAAGAACATAGCTGGTACCCTAGAAATTGACCTTTTACTTCATACCGCTAAAAAGTAACTTCTCTTACTATATCATTATTGTTTCCTTGTTTCTCTTTATAATTTAACCCATTTTATGCATATCTCTAAATGATATAATAAATGAGCCTTGCCTGTTTTTAAACTAGAACTTTGAAGACAACAATAGAAAGAGGAAAAGGAGATTTTCAAGCCAGAAGTACAAAGGACAATTATCAGAGAGTTTACTACACATGGAAAGAGATGGTCACAATGTACCGGAGAGTCTAATTTTGCAGAGAAAGGGCAAGTGAGCGCCTATAGGAATGAAGAAACAAAGAAACAAAAAAACAAAACACCTATAGAAAGTGCCAGAAAATCATCTTGAACATTATGGAATAAAAGGACTCAGTAATGGCAGAATTGAATAAGAGAGATTATGGCAGACATGGGGAAACAGTGAGTCACTGTGTCTGGAGTGATTATAGAAACCTGAAAATGAAATGCAGATGCTATATGTGGCCCTGCTTCACCAATATTATGCTATTTATTTATTTATTTATTTATTTATTTATTTATTTATTTATCTATCTAAGATTTTTATTTTTAAGTAATCTCTATACCCAACATGGGGCTCTAACGTGTAACTGCGAGATCAAGAATCACATGCTCTACTGACTAAGCCAGCCAGGCACCCCCAAATATTATGCTATATAAAAATAGTTTCTCAAATATGCTACTTATACTTCAAAGACATTATCTAATATAGCACCTTATTTTTAGAAAGAAAAAAAGACTTTCACCGAATGTAGCAAATATGCATCTAGTACCTTACTATTCTTTTTAAAGATTTACTTATTTATTTTGAGAGAGAGCAAGAGAGTGAGAGATTGGGGGAGGGGCAGAGGGAGAGGTAAAGAGAATCCCAAGCAGACCCTCTGCTGAGCACAGAGCTTGACAGAGGGTTCGATCCCAGGACCCTGAGCAGAAATCAAGGGTGGACCCTTAACCGACTGAGCCACCAAGCTGCCCCAATACCTTACTATTTATTTCAGTGTAAAACCAGCTTAAGGCATTCTAATTCAATACCCCAAACAGCATCGCCAAGTAACTCATTTCATTCCATTCAGAGGTTTATTTATTTACTTATTTTTTTTTCATTCAGAGGTTTAGATTTATCATCCATTATATATTTCCGCACATCTTTATGATTAAGTAAGGAGGTTGTTCTAAATTAAAGCATCTATTTCTACAGACTTTTTTTTATAGTAAAATGTCTTACTTTTGTCAATAAACCAAGTTATTTTTCTTTATGTTAAAATGGTTGATTGTTGATTTCAAGGGAGTTTATGTGCATGCATATCAGGGAGAATGTGATCAATATTATTATTAAAGTATGGAGGTAATTTGCATCCTTCCCCAATATCAGTGCCATATTTGCCTAATGAAATATAGGGGATAAAGCTGGGATTACTATTATGATAGTTCATATTTACTTATTTTCCCAAATTAAAAAATATTCCTGATGTATTTTGATTCAAAATGTAGATATTAATTAAATTTGAACTTTGAGGTTTTACATCTATCTCTTTCCTAGGCATGTAGCAAATATGCATCTGCCAGTGACCAGTGATTTCTAGATTTATTCCATATCTATTTAATATATCAACATATGATTAACCATATAATCTGGGACATTTTTGAGAGTGAAAGGGGATTTCATTTACAATTACTCCAGGACATCAGGGCAAATATGGACATGTGGTCCCTCTAGTCAAAGGTAATTTTAAAGAAACTCAGAGAAGAATGTGGAAACACAGATAATAAGGTGTGTTTCCAGTGATTTGCTTTATATTCATGTTTGCTCAGTAGATGTTTCTGGAGCAAATGGTACACAGTAGATACTCTGTGGACTAACACAAGAATAATCTCTGTGAAAGTGTTGATGCAGCATAACCTCACTAGGAAAATAATGTTTAAATTTGGTTTTAAGTCAGCTTATGGTCATTAATAATACCAAATACCTAATTTTGCTTGATAATAATTTTTAATGTTTGAAAGCCAAACTAAATGTTTGCAATAAAAATCCCCAAGACAAATATATTTTAGAGAATGAATATAACAATTACACAATTACACACATAGTTTTGAGAGTTAAACTCTTTTTAAAAATGGCAGTCAAATGAGTATATTCACAAGACTCCCCTCCCTCCACAGTCTATCAACCCATACATGTGAAACAAGGTACCTCTTCTTAAAGTGGGTCATCTGGGAAGAGATAATTTGACAGAGCCATGGCATTGTAAAATAAATGAGATACAGTGCTTATCCCTTTGTTCAGAATTATATAAGATTTGCAGTATTTTGAAATTTTATATAATTTGGGTTGAAATATTAAACTGTAGTATTTGGGGAGGATTTTATTCTAATGACTATTGTATCCTTGGTTAGTATATTTCTTTTTCTTCTCTGAGTTTGGTTAGGATTTTAAATCCATTTTATTCTTTTTATTTAAGAAACTTAAAATGAATTTATTGAGTTTTATTCATTTATTTTATTCATGAAGGAATTCAAATTTGGGGAAATATTTTTATATTTCCTTTCTCATATCATTCTACTCATTCATATATTAATTTATTTATCCATGATTCCAAAGTACTTGGAGTTCTAAAGGGTTTTGAGTTTTTGTAACTTGAACTGTCATACAGCCTGCATTTGAATACATTATATACTGACTCCCAACATATTTCCCCAAAATATTTTCCATAGCAGATTTTTTTTTACTCATAAATATCACTTCATTCTTTTTTATACCATCATATGTTGATACTAAGTTTGGCAGAAATGAGGTGGCCCAAGTCAGGGAGATTACTTTTATTAGCTCCTGTCCTGCTATTGGTCATACCAGTTAATGGTGTTTCTCACTGAACTCATTTTTTCAAACCAAGGGGAGCCCAGACAGTCACGTCAGATAGCTCAGCTGACAAGCAGGTTGGCACTTCTCTCCTCACCAATTCTACCTTTGCTCCTAGCCCCTCACTCTCCTCACATCAAATCTACCTTGATCCTCATTGATTAGGAAATTTATATCCAAGAGTAGGAACAATCCAGGTGGTGGACTCATCTAAGTCACCTTCTTATATGTGATGTGTGGACTGAAGGGCAGGTGACAGAGGCCTGACTCAATGGTTTATTGCGCTAAGCGTGATTTAGGCTTGCTCTGACAACTGCTCTGGACCATCTCACAAGGGATGGGATGAGGTTGGGAAAGAAATGTCAGATCCCTGGAAGGGAAAGAGAACACCAGTTATCCCTCCTCTAGCACCAAATTCTGATTGCATCATGAAGCCTCACCCTAAATTCTCTCCCATTCATCCTATCAAAAAAGGATCTTAAAAAGGTAATCCTGACAAATCATAACCTGACTCACAATGTGCACATGTACCATTCAAAGTAAGGCCCACTGGTTTTCAGGCACCAATTTCAGATAATCAATATACACATAGATGGAGTCTATAAGAAAACATAAATAAGCATCACAAAATTTTATAGATGACTAAGTTTCTTCACTAGTTGATACTTTATTTTTATAGATTTGTAAATAGAAATAAGAGACTGAACAGGTCACCTGAGATCATACAGTTAATTAGTAGCAAAACTAGGGCTGGGTTTATACAAGTCATTTTCACAAACAGCTGATGATCAGAACATTTTTCAATATTAAAATATTAATTTCACAATTTGTTTAGCTGTTAGGTTTTAATGTTATTTCAGAATCACAAAAAGTTCTAAAATAAAGTTTTGCTACCTCTGGTGTTGCTGATATTTTCCTTGAAAATTATGAGCTTGCATGTTAACAAACATTATTTTAAAATTACACATGGCTACATTCTGAGTCTGTTGGCTAGGTATCTTCTGAATAACAATAAAAACCCTTACAAACGTCATCAAAAATAAAAATTACATTATAAATAATGATTGTTTAAGCCCAAACTTATGAAATGATTCTGCAACCTTTGGATAAAACTGTAGAAACACCTTTGAGTTTCAATAAAAATTGAAGGAGTAAACATATTAAATAGCACCTCTGTTTCTTTAGTCCTGTGGGAGAGCATAAAATTTGGAATGCTCTCTTGTTTACCCCAAAGGAGAAACAACATTTTTATAAAATCTATTAAAGGGAAGTATTGTTTCATGAAATAATAAAATGTTATTTTACATAATATACCTTAAATGTACCTGTATATTAACATTTTTCAATAAACTTTTTAAGTCTTTACCTCAGTATATAAAAATGGTTTGATGGTGATAGATGAAAATAAAAGGCAAAGATAAGTGACTCCTCCGAATGAACTATCTTTCAGAATCAGGACTTTGGAAGAATTTATGCTAAAGTCACTGGGTTCTATTCTTTGTGGTGTAGGTTAGGAGCTCTGGAGGGATCAATATTTGTACTTGCTTTATTTTATTTTCCATTTTTGTTTTGTGAGTTTCTGTTTTAATTTTCAAACAAAAAAAGGAATACGTAACTGTCTAAAGCAAATAACAGTTGTAACCAATTAATACATAAGGAAATAAAATTTAGAGAGCCTAATTTTCCTGGCTTTCTTCACCTTGAATCTACTCTAAGACTATACCACAGTGAAATACTTCCAGAGGTGGGGCACTGAACCTCCATGCTCCTCTTTGCTAAGTGCAATGGGTACATTTATTTTTTTATATTTTTTAAGATTTTTTACTTATTTATTTGAGAGAGAGAGAGTGCATGAGCAGGGGAGGGAGGAGAGGCAAAGAGGGAGGGATAAGCAGACTCCCAGCTGAGCAGGGAGCCCAACGGGGTTGGGGGGGTGGGGGGGGGCTTGATCTTGGGATCATGACCTGAGCTGAAGGCAGAAGCTTAACTGACTGAGCCTCCCAGGTGCCCCTGATACGTTTAGATACACAATTTATTTAACCTCAGAGCAGCTTTTGACACTGTTGAATGCTCTGTCCCCTTTGACATACTTTTTTTCCTTTGACTTTGATGACATCACACTTCACTCTTATTCGTCCTTCTTCTCTGACTTTCCTTCACTCTGCCCTGCCATGGCATCCTTCTTGATGCAGTGACCATGCCGGAACTCGTCACAGCTCAGCCTTGTTTATTATCTCTCTCTTTAGATTTTCCTGCTGTAGTGACCTCAGTAAATTACACCTCTGGTGCCCCCAGCTCAGTGAGGATCAGGGCCCACATTCAGCAACAGATGAAAAGTCTTCTTTGATCTTGTGCTAACTCAGACAATATCTAATTTATCCAAGATGACTTTTTTTTTTTAATTTCAGCTATTTTATTTTTAGCCCTTGCCCTTGGAAACTTGTTCCAAGAAAAAGACACCATGTCATAAACATTAGATATTTGTTCACTGACATGAAATTATCAATGTTGTAGTTTTCAAATGGAATCTCAGGGACTTCCAGTCAACATTTTGTTAAAATTTTGATAAAATTGATAAAAAATTTTCATCCGGGGATCTGCATCTTACCCAAGATCACTTTCGATTCAGCTAACATTGATGATTAAATAATATTTTCGACTAATAGAAATTTCTACAAGGAATCTATTTTTTTATTTGGTGTTTATATTCATGTTAGAATGATATCACTGTTCTTTGAAATAAGTTATAAGAGCCCTTTTAATTTGGTATTTAGAATTTTTAATATGAATTCTTTTTAAAATAGATCCTTCCCCCAAAGATTTCTCTCATAATCTATCCTTCCTTCTGATATTTCAACTCTTTCATCAATTGTGAATCAAATTATTTCTAGATCAGCCATGGTATTGAGAAAGGTAATTAAAAGGAAGTCTGTGCAGCTATATTTTGTGGTCCAAATTTTGTGTTCCTAATTTTTAAGTTCTGTCAAAATGACTGTCTTTCTCTCTCCTTTCTAAGACACTGCTGGCCATCGTAGGGAACATTCCGAATCGCCATCATACAACATCAGGCGGCAGGATGACTTACCTAGGAGAATGACAACACACAGCAGAATAGCGATTAAGGCCCCTGTACTCAAGCCAGCCGAGGACAGGAACGCTTCCGCATGGCAGGTCCGCACGCGCCCATCTCTCTCGCATGCACAAACCCTGACGGTGAGGGTACTGCTGCTGCTGAGAGAGGGGATTCCACCATCAGAGATCATAATGGGGAGATAATACACATCCTGAATAGTTCGACTAAATCTCCTCCGCCTTGTCAGAATGCTGGCTGTGTTATCTATGACAGACATAAGCAAAACAAAATGTACTTAGTAAAGCCGCCATTCAAGATTCACATTTCCTTTAATGGATAAAATGGGGATATGTGATTTTTTTTTTTATTTTAGTTTATGAAATGGACACAGGAACAAGGGCGATCATTAAAGAGTGACTAACATATGTTCTTAAATTGAGATACTGACATGGAAAAATTAATTGAGCCCAAACTAAAAGAGAAGGGGAAGAGTGCAAGACAGAGGAGTGAAGAAGCAGTCAACATTTTGGACATGGACATAGTAGCAAAAAAGATTTCACAGAATACGGATGGCTTCAAGTCAATGGGTCCTAAACTTTGAGATGAGATAGTGGTCCCTACCCCAAACCTAGTGACTCAAAGTGAACAATAGGAACACATATCTGTATTATTAGCAAACTATTCAGGTGATGTTAATGTACCAAAAAAAGGGCCACTGGTATAGATGATAAATTATGGAGAGACCAGATCAATTGATAAACTTCTTCAGACTTAATTGTGATTTGAAGCATTCTTGTTATAGTAGGTGTACCATAGAAAGTTAATGATGAATTAATCTAGTTAATTAATCTAATGAATTAATCTAGAATAGTTAATTCTATTTTTTATGTACTTTTAAAATGCTATATATTACATTAAATGCCCTCATGGTCAATCTGTGGATTATAGATTTTGATCTATCCACACAACCTTATAAGGGAGAAGATACTAAATTTCTAATTTTTAAGGAAAAATCATTTTTACTATAAATAATAATTTAAAAAAATATAACTAACCTGGGACCCAGAAGATAAATTGCCCAAAGTCATAGAGCTAGTGAATAATTAGGATACAACCTCAATACATTCTAGAATCCTGCTCAAAACCACAATGTCAGACTGCCTTTTTACCCTTTTACATTCATCTCTAATTATACTGATGTTCTCAAGTGCACATAATATATGGTTATCTTAGTATTATTATTCCTCATTCCAGCAAGTCTGTTGGCCAAAAGACCGTTCTGGTAGGTACACTTAGAGGAGCTGTGCAGATTCCCCGCGTGGAATAACTAGCTGCCCTAGCTGTAGATTATCACCTGGCCCTATGTTGCCTCCTTCTGGAGTAGCACATTGTCAATGACTCATTGCTCCAAGGTTATAAAGGTGGAGCTATTTCTACTGAATGTAGACATAGTGAACAACATGTTTAGTTCCAGAACTTTACTCTTGGGTCAGCTGTGAGGCATTAAATTTGCATAACAGCTCAATTCTCATTCTGCTTCTTCCTCCCACTGCCCCACAGATGTTGATCTCAAGGACACACTCCTGTAAACAACCTGCCCTCTAAACCCCAGTTCAGAGTTTGCTTCCAGAGAACCTAACCTGCAACTACACCAATGAGTGAAATATTTTTCACTAAAAAGTAAATAAATCATTAAACAATTACATTTAGAAATTCTTTTATCTTATCAAATTTTTCCTGAAAATTGGAATTCTGTTACATATGAGTATGTTTAAGCTGGTCATGATACAATAACCTACAGCTATGCTTTCTTGATTTTACAGGGCCAAATTAATGCAATAGAAAGATAATGCATTTTTAAAATATTCAGTGTAATACAGATAAAACACATGAATCATATATATGTATTTCTAATCATACACACACACAATTATGTACGTACACATATACATATAATTGAAGGTTTGTTATAGAGCATAAATAACCTAATGAGAAATTACAAAAGGTTTCTTACCCAGTAGAAAAGGAAAAAAAATAATGTATCAATTGTCTATTCTGAAGCAAGTTGAGAATAGAGAAAGCAAAATGCAGAAATTACATCATGTGTGTTGTATAACTAAAACAGTCACAAGCACTCTCCCAGAAACCTAAGCTTTGAGGAAGCACATCTCTTGGCTGTAGGTTGTTGCATCATGATTTATATAGACTTGCCTATATGTACAACTCTCTTGTCTAAGGCAAAGATATGAACTTAGTGTTCACAGGTGCAAACATGTTTGAGAATCTCACTGCTGGCCTCTGAAGAAGAGATGTAAGGCACTGGTCCTTGATTTCAATAAACATGATTAATAATGTAGAATGACCTAACACGCAATGGTAGGTGTGGACTCCCTTTTATAGCTCTGACCTAATGTTCACTTTTTATTCTTAATCTGGAAGCATACTCTCTTTCAGAATAATTATTGGAAATGCAATCAGAAATATAATCAGAAATGAGGCGAAAGCCAGAAAACGTTTCTAGTACACCTTAGGTTCTTAAATAGAAAGCTCTCAGACACAGAAACATAAAAATATTCTTTTTTTTTCCCCAGGTGAAGTTTTGACTTCTGAAAAGAAAAGAGGATTCAGGAAGCAAAGGGCTTCCTACCTAGAAAGACTTAGCAAAGCAGAATAATGAGCTCCTGAAAAGGGATATTGTGTACCTAACCGGAACTGCAAAAAATGTACTTGACTGAAGGCTCACTGAACTTGAACAAGAAAACTTTGAACTAAAATGAAAGAAACAGGAAGATATATATGCATACATATACATATATATCTTATTTACTTTTATTCTTATATGCAGAGAACAAAATTTGTCTTGTTGAAACTGCAAAATTAGGTGTCAAGGGCAACAACAAATCTCTAAACTTGAAGTATAATTAAAACAGTATAAACCAAGTATTATAGAAAATCTTGACTTCCAAGTGGATAAAAAATTAATATGAGCTGAATAAAGGGCAAGTAAGATGGAACATCTGTGAATGAAAAGTGCTAATTATCAATGCCAAATAAAGGACAGTCTCTAATAACACACCCAAGTTTGGTTCTTAATTCTAATTCTTAATAGTTTGGATGAAAACAGAAGCTCATAGAACTCTTGGAAGCCAAGCAAATAGATTTGGTTAGTATTCAAAAAGATATTGAACAGCTAGCACAAAGACCTTAAACTAAAACAATGTGAAACAAAGATGCATATTAGATGTTAAAAATATCATATAGGATAGATCTTGAGTAACAGCGATTATTTTGCAATATATATCTCTGAAAGCAGAAATAAGGCCATAGGGAGATCAAAAAAAAAAAACTAAAATAGTCTTGGAATCATTCAATAAATGTATGGGATATCTATGCATCTCTTTATTGGGAAGACTGCACTGGAATACTGTGCATACTTTTGAGTCTACTAGCTTAAAAGTGCTATTTTACCCCAATGGGTATTTTAGAAGACTTCGGGATGAGAAAAAAGTTAGAAAAATATTTCATATGAAGAGTCTTTGAAGCAATAGTGTGAAAATTCTACATATCCCATATGGATTCAGGTGACCAAAGGGTCTCAGAAAATGGCCAGAAAAATTGGGAAACTCTCTTAGTAATTCATGTCTTTCTGAATATAGTCCATATATTCCTGAAATTCCCAGCAACTATATCTTCAGTGTAATTTGGAAATAGCCTTGAATGTGGTTTAATCTTTCAAAACAGGTGACAGAGCATTCTTTATTTTGATATATATTCTATTTCTTTTTCTTAAAAGGATATGGGCACATACAGGAGGAGGTAGGGAGACTGCTGTGCATATGTAAGTTCTGACTCATGTGGACACTTTAAAAATAGTGAAAGAAGTGAGATTTGGAGTCCTTTGAAAAGCAATCATAAGAATAAAATTCATTTTGGAGCTCTAAGAATACCAGGGATTTTATAACTGATTGATAATTCATAAAAAAATTTTACAGTAAAATATATTGTTGAATAGAGAGGTACACTTGCAACCTCTCTGTATCTACAGGGACAGAAGGCCACAGAATATGATACCACAATGCAAGTTGCATATTTGTTCTGGAATTCAGACATAATTTTCTGAAACTACTACGTGTCCTATTTTTTTTGTTTAACCTTTTTTTAAAGATTATTTATTTATTTAGAAAGAGAGAGAGCAGGGGGAGGGGCAAAGGGAGAGGGAGAGAGAATCTCCAGCAGACTCCACACTGAATGTGGAGCCTGATGTGGGGCTTGATCCCACAACCCTGAGATCATGACCTGAGCTGAAATCAAGAGTCAGATGCTTAGCCAACTGAGCCACCCAGGTGCCCTTTTTTGTTTAATATTTTGAGAGATCTTGAAAGATTCTAATCTCTGTGCTACTTGTGTAAACTGTAAAATAATTTAAGTTAAAATAGGGATGCTTTTTAAGTACTCTCTGGTAAGTATATCTTGGTAAGTATTAAAACTATGTGTTCTTTCAAACACTTATATTATTAGATACATAAAAACTCCCTGCCATTTCATAGGATTCTTTGTCTGATAATGCAGGTATAAAGATATGCTTCAAGCATAGCCAACAGATTATTAAAATAATATTTCCAAATCCATCAGAATAGCAGAAGTGTTTGAGATCCCCAGATGTGGATCTCGAATTGAACTACACTTTTTTTTTTAATCTGTCTGAAGTGAAAGCTAGGAAATAAAAATTTCACCAGACAGATAAATATGCATGGCTTCATATTGTTTTCATTTATTTTCTGGTCTTCCAGCAGCAATAAGATCATAATTTAACTATGATCGGAGCCCATGCATGAAACAATGCTCTTTTGCTTTTCTGTAAAGCTCCTTTCACATAATAGGTACTTGATAAATAATGATTTGAACTACACTCAGCAGGAACTTGTCTTCTGTTACAGTTTCCTTATTATGTTGACATGTATTAAGACATTAAAATGAAAATGAACTTATATATCCTGTAACACTTCAGCAGCATTATCTCCTCATGCTCTCTACTAAATGTTCATTCCTTCTCTCCTGCTTCCTGGCTTCCCCTTCTTTTAGCCTCTAATTGCCCAAATATCAATTTTCAAACTCCAGTTCTGCCTGTTCATTTAAGTTTGTAAACATCCTCCTGGCCTCACTTGTATTTCTGCCCAGCCTCAAATGTATGATCCAATATGTCATTATGTTCCTAGTTTGCACCCTGGAATGCCATCCCTTTGACCATCTGCCACGCTTCTTCT